ATCAACTCCTATGGAATTAACAATTAGTTTTAATTGGATTTAGCAAATTTAGTTGCAAAAACAATTATTAAAGTGGTAGATTTTTGCACACATGTTACATAGAACTCTTCTTTCTAGGTGCTGGATGAAGTCTGGAGGAAAAGTTGTGTTGAGGGTGGCGTCTGTGGCTCAAAGGAGTAGGGCGCCGGTCCCATGTACCGGAGGTGGCAGGTTCAAACATGCCCAGCCAAAAACTGCAAAAAAAAAAAAAAAAAGAAAAAAGTTGGATTGGACTTGGACATGTGACTTTTGACTGTTAAGGGGCTTTCTCTGGAAACTGTTGGGCATCTCTGGCTACACTGCAGGGAAAGGGCTCCGTGGTATCCAGCTGGGTAGTTCCAGGAACTAAGGGGTTAAGTTGAACCATTTTAGTGGGCTGGCAAGGAGCATCCAGGCTGAGTAATTAATGCTTCATTTCAGGGGGTTACTGATGCATCGAAGTTGTTAATTAGTTTTATGAAAACAGATTGTGTAACCACAGGGAGATTGTAATTGGATAGTAATTGAAAATAACTCAGTGGTAAACTTTAGTTGAGTGAAACAGTGGGGGTAACTTGGGAGGAGAAAGGGAGTTGGGGTGGGGGCTGGGGAGGTAAGGAGAGTGAAATAGCAATATCAAGATAAGAGATAAAGAAGACATAATTTGAATGGAAAGAACTTATATGTGACCTGGTCTGACCTCTTGAGTTTGGCACTGAGGACACAGGTCTGATGAAGGAAGTGGTTTTCCCAAGACCACACAACTAGTTAGTGACAAGTCTGCTCTCTTCCCTTGCGATGATTTCCCAGGATTTTCATGACTTTGATTTTTAGGAGTTGACTGTGGGGAACATGAACTGCAGACTGTAGAGACAGCTGCTGAGGCTGAAGTTCTCACCCATTCCTGCTTGCAGAGTCTACTCAGGAGCGCTGCCAGCTCACAGGAGATGCTCAGAACCTTGTTTCGTGCATATGCCACCCTGGCCATGAATAAGGCTGGGAAGGGTTTTCCTTTACCTTCATGGCTGCACCATCCCAGGGGCTGGGGAAACACTGCAACTTTCCCCAGGGTGTTATCCCAGGAAGGGCCAGGAAAAGCAGGAAAGTGATTTTTCATTTAGAATTATTTTGGAGCTTCAGTTTCTGGTTGTGATTTGGTTGATCATCCGGAGTTGGTACTTCAGTTTTGGAATTCTGGTTGGGGTGGGTGGGCGTTTGGGGTTGGCAAGGAAACAGCTGGAAATGGAGAAAGAAGATGATGGCTGTGGCTTCCTCCAGTGAAACCCAAATACAGTTAAATCACTGTTCTCATAAATACTGCTGTGAACCTCAGTAGCCTAGAGATGTTTAGATCCCCAAATTTCCAACAATACTCTGGTCACCTAATCCATTTGGATGGGTCCTTACACTCAATGGTTGCAGCACTCAGAAAGGAAAACTGGTCAGTAGTGGAGCTCTAGGTGTGACTCAGCCCTTGAGGAAGGTGAACCATTTATCCTTCTTCCCCGACCAGTTTAGACTGAGACTCATTTGGCCAAAGGAAGTTACATGCTCTTGAAGTTTGCACGGTGGTTCTGATGGGGAAGCTCCTCTCATTATTCCTGCACTTTAGAGTTTGAGTCTGTCTTTATGCCTCTACCTCACTTCTCAAGTGAGTCTTCCAAGTTAGCAGGGTGACCTCATGGCTATAAAGCAAAAGGAAGTTTTCAGGTTTCTCCAAAGGGGCTTTAAATATCTGGTAGATAACATTTTCTTTACAAGCCAATTTTTCCAGAGAAAAAGACTTCTAGACTTTCGTTTAAGTCTTAATATCTGCCTCACTGCAGTAAGTTGAAGGGAGAATGGCTGGTGAATGAAAACGTTTGTGTCCAGGAACATTTAACTTTTAGAGAGGAGCTCAGCCACATAGATGACCTTCCAACTGTCCTGTGTCTTGGCTACTAATATAAATAAGAGTCACTGTAGCCACAGTGTTTTGAAGCTAGCAGAAGGAAAATATACCTACCAGTGGTGACTGCTTTTAAGAGTAATATTTATTGTTTTTCTAATTATGACAGTTAATATGTCCTTACATAGAATTTGGAAAGCTCAAAAAAGTTTAAGAAATTAAGTTACTTTAATTGGGGACTGTTTTGGTAAGTTCATGTGCAAAGATTTTTGTATGAGGACTCTCTTCTGTGGAAATCTGTTTTCTTTTTTTGTTTAGAGTATTTGCCTTTTCGTATCTTAATTTTATATGAGGTGTTCTTTGCTGTAAACTGAGAATATTGAACCGTGAACTTTCAGAATAAAACAAGGAATTAATTTCTTCTACATATTCTGATGACTCAGTGTTCTGATGAGAGATATCACAGGTAACACAATGCCCAATTGCATTTTTGCCAACTAGCTTTGATGAATATTGGAAATATTAAGATAAAGAGAAGAAAGAAGTTTCTATGAGAAATGTTTTCTTCCTTGTGGGGAAAATGCAAATAACCTTAGATGCCTGTGGAATGCAGCCAGCTACTGTTGTACATAGTGAGGGAGACATATGCTTAATGGCTGAGTAGATCTTCTAGAAAGATGATTGTTAAATGGTCATTGCCTTTAGCCACGCTGATTAGCCTGGTGGTGATGCCAGCACCATTCTTAGGGGTGTCTTTACATTCACCTAACACACTGCTGATTACAGGAAGGCACCGGTTCAGCATTCTTTCTTTCACAAATTACGCTGGAAAGCTTAGTTTCCACCAATAGGAGCTTTTAGGAAAATTGGGAGAAAATTAAGTATTTAAAGTTTTCAAATGAGTTCAGGAAATAGGTGGGGGGACGTTTTGGTCAGCTGGCATGTGATTTGTGGGTGGGCAGTTCTTTTTAAGCAAGAACAGTGTACTATATTGACTGACCGTGTCTTCCAGTGTAATGTCCCCGAGAACCAGAATGCAGACAAGTGCTCTTTGTCTAATTGAGTGAATAAAAAAAGTGTGTTGGCATGAATGGGCCATGTGACTTTTCAAGGAGAAGAGACACATGCCAAGGCCTGTTGAATTAAAATTTTAAAAGCATATCCATAGAATTTGTTTGTAGACCAGAAGAGGACCACTGGAGTAAGTTATCCAAGACCCAAATTTGCAGTGGAAGCAGAAGCAGGCTGTGGGCGGCGGCTCAGAGGAAGAGCCGAGGTGAAACTTTAGACACGGGCAGTAATCAGTTGTCTTCACAATCTGCAATCAGTTATATGAATTTCTCAGAAACAGTTGTGTTTGCTTCGTGCCTTATATAACTATTTAGTGTTATTTGAAATGTCGAAGTATTGGTTGAAGAGCTTGAAAGTGTTTGCTTCGTGCCTTATATAACTATTTAGTGTTATTTGAAATGTCGAAGTATTGGTTGAAGAGCTTGAAAGTGTTTGGCTTGGAGGGATGAGAGTTCTAAGGAGTGGTGATTAACAGCTCGGGGAGAGCCCACATCATTTCCTGAACTCTGCCCTGTGTGATCTGGCCAGCTGGCTTCCAGATTTTCATCTGTGCCGGAAGAGGCAATAAAAAGATAAAGTCAATTACTAGGAGAAGCCTCAAGTGCTTGAAAAGGTTCTAAAGTCTTTTCTCAAATAAAGATATCAAACGAGCCGAGTTAAGCGCTGGCTTTCTTCCCAAAGCTGTGCCCCCTTTGGGCTTTAGTCATTTTGCTTGTCAAAGGGGTCGTAGCACCTGTCACTTTGCCCCTTCTTCATTGCACATCCCTGCAAGCCACAGTCACAGGAGGGGCATCCTAACTGGTCTCCCTGCTTTAATTCTTGCCTCTTTAAAATCCTTTCTTTACACACCAGCCAGAGTGTGTTCACTGTCTGCATCTGAAACCATCTTATTTGTTTGCTCATTTGCTTTACTTCCCAGGATGCAGGTTTCACGGTCTCTGTCACATCCTTAGAGCTGATCCACTGGCTCTGACAGGAGCTCCCTGCCCCCCTCCTAGCTGCACTTGGAAGCCTCTGGCGTTCTCTGTCCTCATTTGTTTCAGCAGTTTTTCCTGAGCTACCCTGAAATGGGAGTCGGGAAACCTGGAGGCACATTTTAGTTCTGCCACTACCCTGTCGGCTGTTAGTTAAGAAAGTCACTTGACTTCTCCAGGCCTCAGTTCCCTTACCTGTGAAGGGACGACGTGTTCCTCCGCTAGGACAGTGCTAACAACGTACAGCAGGCTGGGTGGCTTGAACGCCAGAAATTTGTTTTCTCACAATTTGGGTGCCTAGAAGCCTAAGATCAAGGAGGTGACAGGGTTGGTGTCTTCTGAGGTCTCTAAATGGCCATCTTCTCATGGGTCTTTACGTGGTCTTCCTGCTATGTGCTTGTGTCCTAATCGTCTCCTTTTAAATATGAACATGAGTTATACTGGAGTGGGGCCAATCTTAACCACCTCATTTTACCATCTTACCCTTTTAAAGAGCCTCTCTCCGATACAGTCACATTCTGAGGTAGTGGGGCTTAGAGCTTCAGCATATGAGTTTTGGGGGGGGGGCACAGTTCAACTCATGACAGAGAGGAATGTGCTGGATTATATGTATCTAAGACTTCTTCCAGCCCTTCAAAATGATATTTTAAGTTGGGGATCTTTCTGCTCACACCCACGATCAGTTCTTCTCTCCTGTTAAGCTTGGTGCATATGCTTCCTAATTTTTAGTACTCATCCATATCCTCAGTATATATTTATTTTTTAACTTCTTTTTAAATTTGAAATTAATATGAGGGTACA